CGATAAGAGGGGGCGGCGGCTCTCGGTGACGACAAGAAGAAAAATTCGTGGCGTGGCAGCCGGTGTCTGCAGGATTTCGCGTGGGCGGCGAGAGAGAACGGCGAGGAGCGAGGCCAGCCGACACTGGTATTGATTACGAGGAAAGACCGCACCCTCTGCCACCCTTTGCCGCTGCCCTCAGGGGTTGGCCAGCCACCGCCGCGACACACGCCGCATCGCGAGAGAAATCCTGCGCAGTCGTCGTCCCTGAATCTTTGCGTCTCTGTCCAGGCTCCAAAGATCAATTCCAAGCCTTGCTTGAAGAGGATTTTCAATTCTATCAGTTGATGATTCTACTCAGAGGTTGTTTAGATGACACTTCTTCTTGAAACTTTTTGATATTACTTTCTGTTAATGGAATTATAGTTAAATATTGTCTACTGAATTATCTACTGATTTATTCTTTAGAGAAATTGATGTGTTAAGAATTTTTAATAGAGTATCAAAGAATATTGGTACAGATATTCACAATTTTATAAAATGGAGGATACACCATATTCAATATTTAGATTGAAGGAGAGGGAAGTAACCCTCTGAAACAGGGGATACTGATCCAATCAGAGCATTGCTCTACCCTCTGTATAAATGAAAGTATCACATCTGCGCAGCATCCCTTTGGTCCAACCCCCAAAATGCGGAAAATGGCGGAAAATTTCCATCTTCAAAGATTTGCAAACAATAATTTCCACGTTTCGAAAAATAAAAATTTAATCAAGGTATTAATCAAAAATCTTTCTTGAATATTATTATTTCTATTCATGTACTTTGTTCTAGAAGCCTCGAGCTCTTGCACCGACTTGTCCAACCGGTAGCTTGACCGGAGAATGCCTTCATTATTTTCGTTGCTCCTTTTTTTCAATATTGAGTTATGAACGATTCTGAAAAATTAATATCATCGATAAGCTTTGGTTTACAGGATGAAGAATTATAAAAGAATTTGATCAATCTTACCGATGGAGAAGAATTTCAAAGATTTCAATTTACTTTAATTTTGGCTTTAATTTGATAAAATTCCACGTTGAATAATATTTAAATTCCTTTACAGTTCCAATATCTGACTTTGCTCGTTCATAAGGCCAGAACCCTTTCAGATGATTAGTATACCCGAGAAGTAACGCTAGAACTGTTATGTACGTTAAAGCGCCTTCCACGAGCAACCATCCAAGAAGACTTAACGAATCGATTCGTTAGACACGGCCTAGAGTAAACAAGCCTCCGTATAACTACGTATACATAATTCGATTGACGCTCACCGTCTCACCATTAATATTAATCATATCGTCCCCTCTTTCCATCTTTCTTCCCATCTTCCTCCCTCCCCATCCCTCTCTACTTTTTCTTTCCACGAAGAAGGAAACGAAGCAAACATGTTGCTAGGCCACCAAGCGTTAATAGAAAAATGTAAATAGAAAAACGCGAGGACAAAGAAAATGGAAATTTCAAATGCGAACATCCAGTTATAATGAGACCATAATTGTTTTTTACAGCATAATATAAGATGCACATCAAATGGAAATTATGCTTGACGGCTGCTTTTTCAATTTTCAAACATTCACCTGATTTTTTTAAGTTAAAAGATTCTTCTAAAAAAATTGTTCACAAAAATTGTGTAAGTATGTTGATAAATATTTTTGATATATTTATAAAGGTATCATTCTTAGAATTTTGATTTGATTTTTTAATTATGAAAATAATCATCAGTGAACAGTATTGTAAAGTTTTATTTGGCAGTTTATTAAAAAGTTATTAACAAAAATAATTTAGATTAGATTAAGTTAAATCGTTGTCTAATTTAATCCAAATGCAATATAAACTATGAAATTAAAAATTAATTAAATAAATTTTTGTTTAATTATGTCTATTCTTAGATTAATTCTAATCTCAAATCAAAATCAAATAAAAGTTCATTTAATAAATAATTCATTGTTAATAAAACTTAAACTGATTAAAACTTAACATTATTTTAAAGAAAAATTTTTGTTAATAACTTATTAATCAATAACCAAAATCTTCACAATACAATTCAGAATGATGATCTTGATAGCATATTAAAAGATGATATCTTTTTGTAAATAATTATTTTATTTTCAAACATAGAACTATTATTGCAAAATTAAAATAATAAATAATTAATTTCGAATCACTTTCCATTCTTCCATTCTAATAGATTGAAAATTTTATTCTTGTATTATATAGTACACTTACTTTTGCGACTAACATCTGTATATGTATAGGCTTTCTTCTCTCTTTTCTATTCAGATCCTTGCGTCCTTGGTCAACCTTCGAGGAAATAGTCGAGGCTTTGCGACACCTTCGAGACGCTTAAATGCTTGTTTAAACAATCAATCCACCCGTTGTTCTGACATTTCATACGTGTAAACCTGCACGTGCACCGGTAGAACGTTGGTAAAGCCTTGCCAGCCTGCACAAATAAGGTTGATCGGTATTTCTATGGTGAATGCTGCTCCTCTAAGAGGCAAACTATTGTTCTCTTTGTTCAAGATTAATGCTATAATTATCAACCTGTAATGTATAATTAATATAATAATAGAAATGAAAGAAAAAATGTTAAAATTGTTTACTTCTCATTTTGATGATAGATTTATCATATCATAGCTAATATATCCTATGTAACATTTTATTTATAAATTGTTTTCCATTTCACAGTCATTTTATATTGTTTCTGTATTTTAATTTTAATTATATTATTAAAAGAAATTGCAAGTAGCAATTTTTTTATATTTCTTTCATCTTATTTCTTCTTCAACATAATTTATATTGATTTCATAAAGTTTATAAAAACCAAAGATGTTTATAGTAATATGATAAACTATTTTTTTTTGTACGAATTACATTTTTTTTTTAAGTAATAAGGTTCCTTAAATTATTTATTTATTCTAATATTTTTTGCAAAAATATGTTAATTAATTCATATTTTCAATAATATTGCTTTTATCCAATTTTTACGCACTTAATTATCATCAATGGGTTAAAATATCGGAGATCAATTATTTGATGATATTTAATGTTGAAGAATCTTATGTATAAAATAATTAATTTTCCAAAAACTAAAGAGGAAAATTGGTTGAAACCAAGGAATTGGTTGAAACCATGGTCTTTTTCAAGCAATTAAAAATGCATTTTAAATTATTATCCATTTTTTAATGATTCATTCAGAGCTCATAAAATTGATTTATCAAATAAGGTTTACGCCTAAATCACGTACAAAATGTTAGAACTTTCACAACGAACAATGTTAACAAAATGCTCATTAGAGAATGACACGTAGAACGATTTCCATAAATAGACTAGACAACGATGACGATTTGATCGGCCAGTCACGTCTTTGTAACTTTGTTGCAGCCGGAAGTCAACGAGAAATTCTACCTGGCGACTCGTTCCTTCGAAGTACCGTTCGATTTCTCAACTGATTTTCCTCGTGTATGTCCTCCATTGGTTCGATTAAAATTTCGAACGTTCAACATTCATTCTATTAATCCTCAGAGTATATCTAAATTAAAAAATAATCGACTGATCAAACTTATTTAATTTTATATATGAAATTATTTATCTAACTTTCACAAAAATGGAAAAATAAAAATAGTGTTCAAAATTTAATGAGTTTTAAAGTAACATTCCAATTAATTTATTATTATTGACATTAAGGTTAATAAGAAATTTTCATTTCACAACCGAATCTATCATATGATCTCTATAATAGTGAAACAAAAGAAATCGACTATTTCTAGTTTCTATTTAGACAAAAGGAATTCCACATTAACCTACTCTTCCAATTAAAATAAGGTCGATACCCTTATTGAACAAGGTCTTTCATTGAGTCACCTTTTCGTTGGTTGCCACTTAAGGAAACTACTTGCTACGTGACCAGTTTTCAATCAGTCGGTAAAATCACGTAGATCTTTGGAAAACGGTATTTAGTTGGCGATAGGGTAGCCGTAGATGTGAAACGTCTAGGACATTATGTCGCAGCAGGAGAACGCGACCCTTCGGTGACGTCAGCCTCCTCGTGTACTCTGTGGACTAATATGGCCAGACCGGTCGGTCCCTCGGGGCCTGCTCGTGTAGGTAGCCTCACGAATGTGACTACGGCCTGCTACAGCTTCTTTCAGAACTCAACTCGATTTTTCACTGCGAATCGTTTTCAAGAATTTCGAATCATTTTAGAAGTAATAAAGAATCGTGAAAAAAATCAATAAATGATTTCATGAGAATCGAGACTTTGTTTCTTTCAAATTTTAACTTTAAATCGTTTGAGTTAGAGTAGATTTCTGAAAATTATAATGAATTTAATATTTTGTGATAATTCTATTATATTAACGATAAGTTATCATAATCTTGAATTTTGAATGAATTAGATTCTAGTAAATTTATCTGTAATTTTTAATTTACTATGATTTCAAATATATTAATGAATTTGGGATGTGTTAGATTTTTGTACTGAATTCAAATTTCCTGTAATACAATCTGTATCTGATTAAAATAAGAGAGATCTAAATGCAAAGGAAAATGCAAATTAATTTCTTGCACGATGGTCACCCGACACATCGTCGCAAATCGAACGTACGCAAGTCAGTACATAAATCAACAACAATCTTCTAAAACCTGTTGCACTATTGCTTCGCGAGTATCGATTAACACAAGACCATACATCATTTACCAGACTCGTTTCTCTCGTAAAAAGTTTTATGTAAATCTATAGTCTACTAACGAGTACGTGCCACAATTAGTTACAATTACAACATACTTGAATTTCTATATGAATCGATCTATTTTGGTCATTTGAGAAATATAAGCATAACATGATTTTTTCAAATATTCTCAAAGATTGAATCATCGAGAATGAAAAGGAAATAAATCAAGAAATTCAAGAATGAATATATCAAATATTTAAGTTTGATATAATGATAACCTGAATAGTAGATAATATGATTTCTTCCAATTATTTATTCGATCTGATTTCATTGATTGAAAGACGATTTTATAGAATTTCTTGAAAATGATTTGACAAAATGAAATTATTATCTGAAATTGAATAAAAATATTAAATATAATCACTTAAGGAACAATATCTTAAAACTAACCTAATTATCTAAAGATAATTAAATTTATTCTATAATATTATTTTATGTTCAAATTATATCAAACCTAAATAAATTTCCATAGTATATGGACAATTTCTATTATATTCTATTACTATAATCCTCGTTTCCATGACACAAAAATATATTTACTTTTTCACACATCATGAAACTAATATGGTAAATACCAACCATAAATATACAAACTCAGATTCAGTGCGCATGAGCATAACTTTTCAATGCACAATCATATGTTTTCTCTTGTTTCTCCTATTAAAAACAAGAAAAGTCGTTCGTATGCACTAAACAATAAAATCCACATACAAGTTTCACAATAAAAATAATATCGTGTAGATAAATTAAGAATTAATATTTTAATTATTAAACAAAAGTACGAAAAAGTGAAATATTCGAAATAGAAAATACTGGAATCAAGTTTCGATTGATTCTTTCGTCTTTTGCCCCCACTATGAGTGACGATTGGTAAAGCTTTCCACGTTTTATCAGGCCATTAATACCCGGTTGCGGAGAAGGAAGATAGAGTGTTTACGCGGTGTTTCGCGGCGAACCGTAACACCCCCATCGCAGTGGATCGATAACCTCTCTACGAATCGGTTTCAAGATCCAACGGCGTCTTCGTTCGTTCCGACGGATATATTTATAAACCTGATTCACATATACGACCGCCTCGCGACATCGAATCCTTGAATGCGGGGCCGGTTGCTATGCCAGAGCGATGATTGCTCGTCCACGGAATCTGCTTGCTGACGTAGTTACAGATTGATATGATTTTAATAAGTAATGTGGTAAGAGAATCAATTCAACCACCATTTTCATTGGGTTGTGCTTCATTAGAGAATAGACATGGTTAATTGAAATCCAAAATATAAGAAAAACTCAAAGGTTAGTATATAGAATATCCTCGATCTAAGTGATGATTCGAAATTATCATGGATCTATAATTCGATAATTCTAAATTATAGTAAATATAAGTCGCGTTGAGTTGTCCAAGATCTAGATTGCCATAACTTTAAATTATTCCGGATCTACGTTGTAACTGGTCCAAGTTATATTTTATAGTTAGGACTAAATTATGATCACCTTTGACTGGCTTGGTTCTAACAACGATTGTAAATTATTCTAAGTCTACATTGTAACGATCTCGAGTCATCTTATTGTTAAACCTAGGTTATAATGACCCTTCACTATTCTGAATCTAGACTGCAATCACGTCTAGAATGACCACTATTAAAAGAATCCAGGTAGCAATGGATGTAAATTATACTCGATCTAAATTGCAGTTATTCTAAACGATCTGAGTTGCAATGATCCTAGATTTATATTTCAACAATCATAACTTACTGATTTATTTAATTTCAACTCGACGATATACAACAATAGCTCTGACGTAACCTAACTTCAATAAATAAATCTAAGTATTTCAGAATTTATTTTATAATATTATTCTAAATGCCGAATTTAAATAAACTTATATTGAATATGAGTGAACAATATTATACATAAATATATATCATTTCATTATCGCAATCATCTTCATTTAAATTTAAAACAAGAATCTAAAACGATCCAATGAACGTATAATCTAATTACAGATAACTAAATCTAAATATTATTAAATCCATACAATATTATTTTATGCATAAATTATGTCAAATCTAAACAAACTTTTATCGCAATTGAACGAACTATTATATTATATTTAACTTAGAGTCGTGATTATCGATTATTAATATGTTGTCGATAACTTATTAATATATTATTTTTATATATATCGATAATATATTATTAAGATACATAAATATATTAAAAAACTATATTGTAATCTATTTCAGTCATTTCTATTTTATTTTATGTTATTGCTTTATTTTTTTAATCAAATATTTAATGAAATATCGTTAATAATTTTATAACAACTTTAAATAAATAAAATTTGTAATTTCAATTATTTTTATTATCTATTTTTCATTGATGATATCTCAATAATATTATCAATATTTAACGATAACAGTATCGATTGTCAATTTTAATTCCATTACCACTGTCGTCCTAACCTAAATCTAAACCAAGAATCTAGAACGATCGAATGAACGATCTAATACATGAACTCGATCGAAATAGACGCAATTCGATTTATTATCGATATTATCGATATTTATCGATATCGATTGTCATAACTCCACTATCGTCCTAACCTAAACCCAAACCAAGAATCTAGAACGATCGAAATGAACAATCCAATACGTGAACTCGATCGAAATAGACGCAAATTTAATCCGATAATTCTCCCCACCGAAGATATCAAAGGTTATCGAGTAACGAACGTCTACACTCCCCGATGAAACATTGAACACGTTTGACAGGAAATCACGGTTAATCGAAGGTCCGAAGGAAATCACCTCTATCGTCACCTCGTCGTTTCGGTTCGTAGCTAATCGAATGCCGAAGGAAAACGAAAAAACACGTCGTCGCGCCGCCATTAAATATAATTTAAAAGTAAGAAACGTATTTGCCGGACGGGCGGAAGCAAGTGTCTCGATGAATATGTAGGTTGGCCCTCGACCTCATGCCTTCATATACACATACATGTCCTTTTTATGTATTGGTAGTTGCACATGGCCGTTCCAAGTATATATGCATAAACGTGCATACACATGAGAGCGAGATCCACCGATAACGAGGCTCTCGATTAACCTTTTATCTCGGTTGGTCATCGTTATGCGGCGCGCTAGGTCTCTTTCCATGTGAAAAACGGTATTTAATGGAACGAAATTCTAAGTTAATTATGGACTAAGGATGTTTCTTACAACGCATTAAGAGGAAGAAAAAGATGGAATACTCATCTCTATTTCTATAATCTTTCTCGAAATTTTTCTTCATTTTTTTAAAATAATTTTCTATTTTTTTATTCTTTGTATTAATATTTTTCTTTCAAAATTTGTTTCTTCGTGAAATAATATATTTATTAGCTTAGAGAATACTTGCAAATTGATAAATTTAAGGAAAGAGACATTTTTCAGAAAAAAACGATGAATAGATTGGTTATTTCGAAATCGAAGAGCACGTTATAAAAGTGGCTGTGAATTTTGAACCGAGGACGTTTAAATGCGAATTTCAACTTTGAATAATGCATACGAGGCAAGCATGGCGTCAATATTTTCTTTCGGTCAATAGTTATGGAGAATAGTCCTTCTCACGGTAATTCTGCATGGGGAATGGGCAAAAATAGCTACGTTGGACAATGCCAACTTCATCATTCTCGATCTTCTGAAGACTTGTGAATTTATTTCCTCGACGAATGGGCGTTCCCAAGGACTATTCCGATTTTAGAACCTTAGCAATAGTCGAGTAGAATTGAAATATGAAGGGACGAGTGTGAAATTTTAATATAATATTTAATATGTCCCTAGATCCTAGGGAAATTTAGGTTCTACGAGAATCCTATAAAATCTATACGCTTACAGCTCGATTCTCGTCATATTTTCAATGACTAATTCTTTATTTAACGTAACATTTATCAATGTGCAGAAATATGACACATGGCTCATTAGTCGAACCGATCTGTCAAGGATCCATAGCTGAGCAGTGAAGAGGAAGCTCTCGGTTCGACGGGGAAAGAAGATAGCGTAATTTTATGCGAATTCCTTCAACAAATTTACGCCCACCAAGAGACGAGGAAGAGTCGTGTCGCTCGCGAACGCGATTCTACGCCAGGCAAAAGCCGCGTCGGTTTATTTTCGACTTGGAAAAGTTTAAAGTTAGACAACCGGTAGGACGTGCCTACTAGCGTACAATATTACAGTGAGCCAAGTTGTAGATCGTCAAACTTAACAATATATGGTTTATGGTGAATTGAATTTCTATGTCTATGTTAAAAATATAAAATATAAAAAATATAAAATATTAAAAATATAAAAATGCAACTTTAATCATTTTTTTTTTTTTTAATTTACCACAATAAAATTATATCTATGAAAAAAAAAAATTGAAAATGATCATATTCAAATTACGAAAATTATCATTCACACGAATGAAAAGATTATAGGAATATAATGTAAAAGAAGATTAAAGCAATTAGACTGGAGAAACGAAGATGGATTTTTGATCCACGAGGAAAATATTACGAGGCGAGAAGAGCAAACGAAGTGAAGAGGATATTGCGCAACGCTTTGAAACGGCTCCTGCGGCACGCGGCTAGCAAGAAATCTGAAACAGCGGGTCGAAGGTTGCGATAGGTTCGCACTTTGCTTCGTGATCGTAAACATGTAACGACATGCGTGTTATGCCGATTGATGAACACCGAGAAAACCGGCGTCTATTATTAACTCCTCGTTCTATGCCACGGCGATTAATCTTTTATCGATGGATACTTATTCATTGGATACTATGGTTTAGAAGGATTTTTTTTATTAAAAGAATTTATGGAAAATTATAATAATTGGTTACAAAAATCAAATGTCAATTTTTGATGTATTTGTTATTTTATTTTAATTATACAGTGAAAAATCATATGTTGAAAATTCGGAATGTTGAATATTTTTTTTGATCTAAATATAAATCTACTTCGAAATCTAGATTATCTATCTAGAATCTATCCTTAGAAACGTTCCGGTATTCTATGTCTGGAATAATGCGTAAACGTTATTCTATTCATTCGTTCCTCCCAACTGAACTAATTGAATTAATCTAATTGACTGGCAAAGGACAGAAACGACGAGAGGCGATTGTTTTAAGTAGAAGTTGAATGTCTCATGGAGATTATTGCGGTTTGACGATGGTCGAGATTGAGGAACAATGGGAGGTGATTCATTGAGAGTCTGTGGTATCGTCTGTGTATTTTATTTAGCGGTAGTAAGGTCGGTTCGGTGTAGCGATCGTTCGAGTGGAATTGGTTATTTGGTGAACGTGATTCTGATTGTTGTTAGTGGAGTAATTGGTTGGATCAATTGCGTGAAACGTGGCGATCCAACTAACAGCGATCTAACCATTCAGATAAGAAAAGTAGTAGCGTTAAAAAAGAAACAAACTGGTCGAATCAAAAAATATTTATCTATGCCATTATCATTGACAAAGAACGGGAAAACATCAAAATTAACAATTGGAAATCCTTATTAGTTTAACCATTTAGATAAAACAAACATATAAACTCGATCGAGTCAAGAGATATTTATCTCTGTTGAAAAATATCCAATTATCATTATCATGAAATAATACTAATGAACGAAAGAAACATCAAAATTAATCATTGGAAACGTATCTTTATTTAATCATTTAGATAACTAAAAAATATCTTTGTTGGTTATTCGATTAAAAATCTATTCATAAGAGAGAAAATTTAGATGAATTATTCAACACGATTATATAGGGACAATTTGGTTATCGATCAGAAAGGCGTCGATCCACGACCGAGCTCGATTATTCGAAACAAGACCCGATCCTCGAAGGCATTTACTTACGTACCCGGCGCCATAATTGTAGAGCGTGTCGCGGGCCGCGTTATTAATCGTTTCGCGGGAGAAAAACACCGGTAATTGCGTGTCCCTGGCTGAATGCCTGAGCAGCAGGTGCGGGAAAAGGAGGAGCGTTAAAATTCTTCGTTCTGCTTGGCGAGCAACAGCGCGAAACAACGTGTGTTTCTCTGCTTGCTTAGAATGTTGCCTGGCCGGTCCCCGTGTGTATTAATAGCTTGATTTTCCGCGTTTCTTCCCTCTTCCGCCATTTTCATCCACCAATAATCGGCTGGCCTTCCATTTTTATTTCTTTCCTTCGTTTCTTTCCATTTCTACTTTGGACTCTCGCTTTCCATTCCATTTTATCTTTTAGGTAGATAAAACCGTGGATTTGAAGCGTGGATTGAAACGTAAAATACGATTCGT